AACTCTTCACCCCCTATATGGTTACAAACAGATATCTCTTCATCCCATATCCCATCTCTTATCTATAAGCAAATCCATAAAGCATCAACTTTTCAATCCTGGTGACAACAAAAAGTCCATAAAGGGTTGCCAGAACTTTGCAAAAAAAAAATCTTATTTTAATTTTGATCAAATAAACCAACTTTATATACCTTCCTTTTACTTCTAACAGTATTTACTCCAATCAAATATTGTCATAGGATTTGATTCCTCTTCAATTCTTCTTTATCCCATTGCACAGATTTCTTCAAGGCTTTAACAACCTCTTTTGTAGATCCAATAAGAAAACATTTTCCAGGTCATTTTCTTGGTTTACCATTTGTATTTCCCTTTTAATTTTTAAACTTCAACTAGTTTCTTTTGTATATCCAGTAAAGCATCCTTTACCAAATCATTCTCTTGGCTTGTCATTTGTAGTTCCACTTTCGGTACTTTCTCTGTCTTGTCAGATAAAATTTGTTCCATATCTGTCATTCCTTCATTAACATCTTTTGGACATAGTCTATCCATAGAAGCAGACATCATTACTGACACTATTATTATTGTAGTTACTAATTTCTGGCTCCATTCTTCAAAGATCTCCTTTAATGTTTCCAATGTTATAATGTTTTGTGCCATTTTGTAAGTCCCAGTATTAACTGACATCAAGACAGGCTTGTATTTTTTTCCCCTTCTGCTTAGAATCTTTAGTCCCCTTTAGTGTCCATTTTCTAAAATCATAAAGTAACTTATCTTTGTCATGAGTTAGAATAGTGAGGATAGCCAAAATAAGTCTGTTTCCCACAAGAAGCTATTTATTTTTTATAATTAATTCCAAAATCTTATAGTAAAAATATTCCAAATTTATCTGGATCCTTAATCTGTTTATAACTTTCTTAAGCCAAAATATTGTTTAGATTTTTGTTGTTTATTTCAAATTTTTAAGTTCTTAAACTTATAATTAATTTTTCTTTTGTTCAGAGTTAAAGATAAACTCACCCAATGACTTTTCAAGCTTGTCATTCCGAAGGACTCTAATAACTTTAAGATAATTAATAGAAAATTTCTGAAAGTGATTAGAAAGTGAAGCTTGCAAATTTAGTGTCTTTTAAAGGGCTCTGCCATGATTGCAAGCATGATGGCTGATCCCTTTGTCTCCTGGGACTAAAACCTGCAGAAAACAGCTATCCTGCAATCTCCTTCCAAGGAGCAGCCATCTAGAGCACATGTGGGCAATCTCCCATATTCTCTTTAGCCAGAGAGATTCCGAGGAACCAGTCTACTCACCGGTTCCTTGATCTTTGCCACAGACATCAGCTCTACTTTTGCAGAGATGTCTTCAGTTCGCCGTAACTCCCCCCGAAGTCCCCCACAACAACCGTGTGAGGTGGGTTTGGCTGAGAGAGAGTGACTGGCCCCAAGTCACTGAGCTGGCTTTCATGCCTAAGGCAGGCCTAGAACTCACAATGTCCTGCTTTCTAGGCCAGCACATTAACTGCTATACCAAACAAGTCCACAGGTTTCTGTAACAGTAAATGAAATTGTTATATGGCTATCTTAACAAGGGTTCCTAGAGGGCCACAAAACAAGAACAGCAGCATAGATTCTGCCTCTCTAAAAATCCAAATAAATCAAATATGTACTGTCTTTAGATGTGTAGGACCTTTAACTTTTTATTAGAACCCTCTAAGATCCATCAGTTGGAGCCTGACTGAAAAAACAAACTCTAATCTGAGCCCAAAAATGTATTCCAAGTACCAGAATATATGTTGTTTAAAATGAAATTATCCATGATTTCAACTGCCTGGATTAAATATGTGTGCACATCCGTGCACTCACCCGCAATATGCTTCCCACCCATGCAATCATCACTACCTCTGTTACATTCAAAGAAAAAAAAATACTGTGAAAAAAGGCTATTATAAGGATGGTAGGGATTGCTCAATTCAGAATTGTATGACCTAAAATCCAGAAATGAATTGGGGATTCTAATCATTGTTCTAAAGCAATGCTTCTTGCCATGTCTGGTTACCTCCTGAAGTTCCATAGTTTCAATTACTTCAGCCCTCCATCTTTGCTAATTCAAATTATGGGGACCTCTATTGAATTGCAAAGCCTTTCCAGAAAGCAAGTGAATTATTTAACTTATAATAAAACTGAAGAGTTCTTGGCTATTTGTTGTATAAGTTTTATGTCCAACAATACTGTCTAGAAAACCAACATTTGTAAAGACCACAAGGGGCAAGCTCAATAAGAGGATGAATAGATATCTATCTGTCACTAAGAGTACTTAGCATTCTAATTTACTAAATATAATATTGGCAATATTGGCAATCTGTAATAGGGCATTTATAAGACAAAATATGCAATCATTGCTAGGCCACTCATTCAGTTACCTTAGACCAGTGTTGTCCAAACTTGGCCACTTTAAGATGAGTGGACTTCAACTCCCA